ACAAGATCTGGACGTAACCTATGCGATTCCCATATGCAATGGTAATGTGAAGGAAAGCAATCCAGAATATCCGGGAATTGACATCATCTAGAACCGAATCATGAAATGTGATTCCAAGAAGACTCATTGCCACCGCGTGCAAATTAAATTGACAGCAATAAAATACCAAATGATGTTTCAGAAGCTAAGTGAAATAGCTCTATCACTTCTCAAAGTTGCACCCTACGATACGACAACACTGGCTTGTGTCGGATTACAAAGGTACCTTCTTCTATTCTTCTTCATATAATCAATCGAAAACCAATCGAATAGATCCAATGCAAATTTCAAATGTTAACTGTTAACATTTCAGATACTTCCTGTCCATCTTACCAATTACCGATTGGTCAGTTGAAGGAAATCGATCAGCGCTTAACATTATTTTGCGTCGTTTGGATAAGACAATCCAAAAAATTGGTAAAAAACTGACTTTGAGAAGGCGGACGAATTGGACGGCATTAAGTAATTGGTTAATTGGATTATACCAAACGGTCAATGCATACCCTTATATCGCTCATCTACATCCGCTAAAGGTGTGTTTCAGTTATTTTGTTTTATGGCGATATCTATTCATTTGATTATTTGCTCTTAAATTCGTAAGCTGTTCTATAATTTCATTCAAATGCAGATATTTTAAGTGGATATGATAATACTGGACTTTTCAATATTATGCTATCAGAAGAAAAAGAACGGAATTTGTTAAATGAAACGAAAAAAAACGAGAAAAAACCTAATGTGGGGTTAGATTCAGTCAACAGATGAAGCTGTATTCTTTACACCGAATTGGTGAATGAAAATCATTACCGACTGAATGAGGATTTTGATTACTACTATTATTCACCAAAATTCATCTTGAGACTCTTCAATTTTTGAACAGTCATCTAACAATAATAAGGTAAATGACTTATTTTGAGAGTACCACACAAATGTGTCTTCGAATAATGGTTGGTGATCCATGCACTGATGACTTATCGACACAATCCGCTGCACATTCTCTACCGTTGTCGACCATTCTTTACGCTACGATCCCTCCGCAGATGTTCTGCAACGCCGTGTTGAAGCTTACATCGTTTCTGATGCAAGCACTTGGACAGGTTGATTATTTGTATTCAATGTTAATATAATTTAAAGAAAGCTACGTTATCGATAATTTCAGTGTCTTGATGCTATCAATTCATTTGTTATCACACTCTTCATTATCTATTCTGGTCAATCTCATTGCAATCACTAATGTCCACTCCACTTGCTTGACTTTCAGCTCTAACAGAAATAATGCTTTCAGTATTCGTTTTCACTGGAATTCTTGTGTAGTGTGGAGGGTATTGGTCCTACGGCCGAACGACTTGAAGCACTTTTGTGCCATTTTCTAATTCCACTCTTCCTACGTGCTGCCACTGCAGCGAAAGGTGAGCTTTTCTCGTTTCCTATCGTTTAAATTATCAGTGACATTGTCTTAATCATTATCATCGAAGCTGTCTTCAGCAGTAAACTGTATGACTAAATTTCGTTGACTTTACAGATGCACCTCAAATTCAGTCTCGAGATTTGGCGTTCTGTTTGAATTTGATGCAAAACGCCATCAATCCTCCACTGGCAAAACAAAGTCTTGCTCCGGTAACAAGCACCAACTTGGCCACTCAAATTATACGTGCTTCCACAACGCATGGTTAGAATTCTTTCATCCATCTCCCAATAAAATGCTGAATTTTTCTCTGATGCAATTTGAATTTCCACCTTTTTTTAGCATCAGATACTGCTGCAAGACAAGGCTCCGTCTCTGTGACGGATCGTGGCCATTCAGCTACGGTCTCAACACATCGTATTGTTCGTGAGACTGTTTGTCAAGCTGTTATACTAGGTTTGTTCCATAATGATCCCTCCGATTCGACCTTATTTTCGGTTCAACATGCATCATTTGATAAATAATGGAACTATGCAAGGTTACTGGCTGATGAACTTTTGAACTCTATACATTACTCAAAATCATTTCAGCACTGAAAGTAATGATGGTCGCCTTTCACAAGCAAATGACCTCCCACTGGTCGAAGGTAACCAAAATTGTTCGCGAATTGGTCGGTAAAAAGATCGGAGGCTCAGCGCTGTACTCGTTTACCGAATTCGTTGTCAATATCAATTTGCCCATATCACTGGTCATTTTACCCATTTTACATACTAAGGTGAGTGACTTTCCTTTCTGAATTGCCTTCTAAATATATCTTAAAAATACAGCTATTTTTAATTGATTTATTTATTTGTTTACTAGATAAATGGTTGAGTAGTTGCACTTCATCCATTTCTAAAGCATATCTTTTCATGATCTCTCTCGCTTCCCCATGAATCCCATTTATCATCAATCCATTTTACTTTTTTGATTTCTTATTCACAAAAGTTCAATCACTCTCTATAAATAGCTAAAGGTGAGCTGTTTTCCTCATCAAGAAAAGCGAACAATTTGAGTACAGTCATTTCATGTTTTCTTGCGTGGAATATTTCAAATTTCCAAGCATCATTAACACGCAACACTAATTTTTCCTAAATCAAGAGAAATACTTCAGGTGAATCAGAAGCCAGCCTCAGAGCAAGAGGCCCAATGGCAGAATGATTTCAAGCAACGTCTGCATCGTTTGGGTGGCACGTCAGCTTCGGAATTCCGAAGCTATAGCGCCATTCTGAACGAATTATCACTGGAGTTACAATCAATGCGCGAGGATTTTTCAACGAGACCGATTGGTAGCATATTTTTGCAATTGTTCCTATTGAATTACATCGACCCATTCCAGAATATTGTCCTTGATATCTTTCATTTGAATCCTTCACTGTTGCCATTCCTATCAACATTCTCTATCTTCGCCATCAGTGTCCTCTGTGCCTTCACTAACCAGAATCGCCCGTTACACGTGTTGTTCAGTTATTGCTATCNATTGCTATCGCATTACCTTATTCAATTCAAATTTACTTTTTTCGTTGAACTTCCCGAAGTTCTATTCTAAATATCTCTTTCTTTGCAAGCAATGCTAATTAAATGTAACAAATCAGTGTGAAAGGTATCAAACAAATCAAGAAAGTGGCAAAATGTTTTAAAATGTATTCAGAAATGCAACGCTCACATACACCAACAGTGGAATTGCACAGTGAAACGGGTAGCACGCAAAGTAGTGCCACACATCGTTTATCGTACACGAGGTCAACGACTGCCGAGTCGACGAGACGTTTGTCCACTCATGCTCTCAACAAGATCTCACGGATGACACCGTCAACATTTCATAAACGTTTGTCGATTGCAACATTTTAAGCAATGTCCTGGCTGATTTTATTGTTATTGCTGTTAACATTATCAGTGCTTTTCCTTAGTTACATTCAATTGTCACAGTCATTCGAGCGAATGTTTCAGTCACTTTACTCGCTTGCCCTATGGAGAGTTCATTTTTTAAAATCCGAATGCTCCTTTTCAAATTGTTGATCGCCAGATTAGGACACTTTATCTAAATGAGTAGAATTTCAGCTTCTAGTGGCGAAGCACTGGTCGAGGGAACAATTCAAGAGGATACCGAGGATGAAGGTTCAGAAATGATGCCAATACGCGTTGTCAAAAGTCCATCACTTCCCATCAATAAACGTGATCTCATTCTCTATCGTTACTGACTGTTGCATTATGAACATAAATTTAGATGGATTTTTGAATAAGCTTAATTCATCGAGAATGCGACAAATTTAGATAAAAACTCTTCATACGGAATCTCCAATCTGTAGTCAGCATAACAATTGCGCTTGAACAAATCTGGCCTAAACGGTCACGTTTAGACTGTATACATCGAAGACAAGAGAACATCTATTGTTTCCGATCATTACAGGATTCGGAATGTGGCGATCGATGCGTCGTAAGTCGAGACATGTGACATCTGAAGGTGATTTACCGTTGGGTGACCGACGTTCCAGCGTAGAGCTTCATGAGCTGCCCTTCTCACACCATAGACGGACACGTTCGTGCACGAGAAGGTGACTTGCTGTTGTTGCTGTTGTGCATTTATTTTGATAGATGTAAAATATACGCTTATATCGCACTATGAATCCATTTTATGTTACTGACTTGGAATTTGATGTAATAACGGAATACTCTGATGAAATATATCAATGTGATCTTATGAGCAGTGCATAATGTCGTAGAAACATATTTATAAAACAATAATATGAAAGTTTTGCGCCAAGTAAATGAATAAATATAATGAATGTAGTAAAATGAATAAATATAATTAAGATTGCACATTATTATTGCATTATAACTCTGTTTTGTAGTTAAGTTGCGTTTTCTTTAGGTATCCGAAACTCGAAGAAGCTCTC